AAGGCCTCATGATCTTAATGCCAGCATTAAGACAGACAGAAGCAACATAGTGCTAACTGACAGAAAAAATTCTTTATTTACAGAATGGCAACAGTAACACTTAATAACATTTGATCTTATTTACTGTGGTCTGAAAGCCCTTGGCTAGAAGCAATAGAGAAAAATGTACCATCATTATGTTATTTAAAAACAATTTTAAGTGCAGAAGTCAAAAACCAAGGAGCTTTGTAATAAAGTAACCTTAAAACACCACTGTAAGGATCATTTAAAACATGATTCCCTCAGGTGAAACTGTGTCTTCTAATAATTTCTCTGTGTCTTAGAATATGACTTCATTTGTATATAAGATCTTTCCAGAAGTAACAATGAAAACGAGATCATTAGGCAAGCCCTAATACAACGACTGTTGTCCATTTATAAAGGATACATTTGGAAACATTCTAAAGTTCTGTTCAATGTCTATTTAGCTCTAAATAGACAAGAGTACTCTTACATATTCATGAGACTTTATCCTTCATAAAAAAGTTCAGAAATCTCCCTTAAGAGTCATGCCAACTTGTATCTAAGAATCCATCCCTATACCATGACATTATTTTTTTATTTCAGTTTAATACGAGAGTACAAATGATTAGGTTATATTGTTTTCACTTGTTAGTACCATGAAATTATTAAGTTGAGGTGTGTTGTACCCCTTACCTGAAAGCTTTTCTAAAAGCTTTTAGAAAAGCTTTCAGGTAAGGTTTTTTTTTTAATGTTCTTATTTTTTTTAATAAGAGTTTAAACTCTGAATTTTTTAAAAAACTCTTATTTTTATATTAATAAAAATCTATGAACACTTTAAAAATAAAAAATGATATGTCTCATAAATAGATCTCTATTTCATCTCAGTCTTTAAAATCATTCAAAATAACTATGAAATAAATCTTATCATTCAAACTAATATAAAATAGATTGAATTCATATAATGTTAATTATCAAAACAATTATGAGAACTTTTACAAATAGGATATAAATAAGATTCACTAAAATGGTATTTCTCAAATTTCTTCTACAGAACCATACATTTGTTCTTTTTCAGAGAGGTTTGGGGAATCCTGTACTCCATTTGGGCTTCCTTATTGGAGTGATAGGGCAATTCTCCCTGTAACATACTTAATTTTGTATAAGTTCAGCATGTCCCAAAGAAATTTCACCATAAGATGCTTTTTAATTTAAAATCTATTAAAATTTTAAGTAGTACTTTTTACAAAATGCCACAGTAAAAACAACTCCCAATATTTAAATTAAAATTAATGTAAATTAAAACACTTTGTTCACACTCCAGAAAATAAAGTTGCAATCACGCGACACGAAAACCTTCAAATAACATACTTTATGAAATTTGTTTACCTCTTTGCATCATAGGAATTGAACTTAATGAGAAAAAAACATAATCATCATGAGTAATTAGAACTAATCTACCAAGTTAATGCATGCAATGTGTCTTCACTTACAGATTTTACAACAGCCTTCATTATAAAGCTTTACAATCCCTTCATTCTAGGGAGAGAGAAAAGGAACAAAGTCAACACATACAGTGTTCGTCCATTTCTTCTTAGGCTAAAAATGAAAAACTAACTTTCATTAAACATCACAAAGAACTATTTCTAATAAAAACTGCTTTCTTTAAAAATTACAGATTTTTATTACTTTATTTCTACGTTAGCAACATCAGTGACTACAGTGTTTAAAATACACTTTTTACATGCCACAAAATATTTTTACTAAAAGAAAATAATTATAGGTCTTCTAAATATAGGCCATTATATATTTTAAATCCTTTAAATAACCTCAACTATTCCATTAGGCTAGATTGAGTTTTTGAATAAAATTGCATATTAAAATGTAACATCTTTTTTAATATTCTATTATTCAAAAAATTCCCTAATGGCTAAATTAATAAAATAGTTTTGATTGGCTTTTGTTGATTAGCAATTCTTATAACAATTGCTAACTGCTTTACTAACTTGCAAGTTGCAATTAAAAAAAATAATAATTTACTCTCTTAAAATGAGTCTGTGAAACAAAACGATGCCTAAGTTTTTTTCCAGAAGTTAAATTCTGAAACTTTAGTCCATGTTATATATAGATGGCTAGCTAGAAAAGGCCCATCTTGAAAAAAAATCCATGAGACTAAGCTATTACTTTATACCACGAAACAAAGCTCACTTTTCATTAGGAATTGTTATTACTCAAATAATTAAAACTATTTTTAAATTTTTAAAAATAAAAATTGTGTCACTTTCAAAAATCACCTTTTCCAATAGGCTTTTCTCTGAGAGAACAGGGAATTGATGAAGTGTAGGATTAGCTCTGCTATGACTTGTGCTGAGTTATCCAGAGACCTGCGCTACAGCAAATGTCATACACATACAGGCCAGCACCTATTAAACGGTGAGGGACATCATAAATCTGGCTGTTTAAGAGAGTATATTGGCCAACCTCTGATTCATTAGCTATTAATCCATATTACAAAGGAGGCCAGGTCTGCTGACCGAATGATTTTGCAATAACCCTTGGTTCTACACATAAAACCCCAAAACACCGAAGTGTCCATTCAGAGAGAGTCAAAATTATTTGGAACACCATAGATGACTTCAAGATAGCAAACTGAAAAAATACAAAAAAGTTTTTATTAATCCATGAAAATAAAGCATTCAGCACAGTGAATAAGCCACAATGCCAAGATGACCTTGGAAAACATGAACATGTATTTTCTAAATTATATTTCATACTCAATTGTATTAGGTATAACAAAATACAAACCAGTTTGCATTCAGTCTCATTGAAAGGGGGACAGACCATACTGTAGTTCAGAATCATAGCAACTTCATCAGTCTTAACGCATTCATATGTGGTGCAATTATAGTTCCAAGTACTTCCCTCCTAAAAATAAAAGAGAAAATTAGCATCCTGCATACTTAAATCTGCTATATTTTTAAGTAGAATTTTTTTAGTTTCATTTCAGTTTTATTCTTGTTAATAAATTCAAGTAAAATTAAATTTTATATCACTTACCTAAAGATAACATGTATAATATAACACACATTTTATTTTATATTCTTTTAATTCCTCTAATTCTCTTACCACAGAAATATATACATTCTAGAATGACGTCTGGAAGATATTAATGAAATCTGGGTGAGAGTATCCTGAATAATGTTTATTTCCTTTTATTTTACTTTTTAAAATTAAAGAACTTTTAAATTAAAGAAAACTTATGACAGTTTTAGAAAAACAATAATTTCAGGAAACGAGTGTGTAACCAAAGCATTTTCTGTTTGCTTCAACATTCCACAACAAATCCCAGCCCTTACCTGCAGGAGTAAATGCAATCTTGGAGATATAATAAAGAACCAACTCAGATAATTTAAAAAATGCTGAGGCAAACAGATACAATTTCAAAGGGAGTTAAACACAATCTTCTTTTCTCATTGGGTCAAATGTCCTTGCCTCTGTAACAGCAAATTTATGCTAACTATGTGAACTATCCCAAACGCTCATTCATGTTTTATGTATTAATAAAATTAATACATAAAATTAAGTTTTTTTAATTCATTTAAAATTAATTTCTTTTTTTAATTTTTTTTATTGTTTGGGATTCATTGAAGATACCAAAGAATTAGGTTACACTGATTGCATTTGTCAGATAAAGTCCCTCTTATAATTGTGTCCTGCACCCAAGAGGTGCGCCATGCACCATGACCTCAATCCCTTCTCCCCTCTCCCCTACTTTCTCATTCCCCTACCCCCCGTATTAGCTCATCTACTGCCCTCATGTTAGCATAGATTAAGTAGAATATTTCTTATCCTCTTGAATAAATATCAAAATCAATTCAAGATACAGAGAGCTTCTTGTGACCCAGAATGTTTCATCTTACAATGTCCCCAAATTTATCAAAAATTATTAAAAATACATCCATATGTATCATGTGTGATTGCACATGTCAGGCTTTATACTAGAACTGAGATGTAAATGTGAAGTAAAACAACAGAGGGGAAAGAAGCAAGTGGGTAACTGTGTCTGCTACAAAATTAAACATCTAATTTGGCCAAGGGTCAAAGGTCTTACTCTAATATTTCCTCACTAATTATAAAACAACAAATCATATTACTCACACACCTCCTTTCCTGAGATTTGCTTATTCTTCCTTTTACTCCCTTGTCACCCAAAATTCTTTAAAATATTTGAGTGCCAGTGTTTATTGCCTTAAGGTTCTAATTTTGTAGACATTATGGTTATTTTAAAACCTATTCAATTCTTTAACAAATGTTTAACTGAAACTACTGTTTCATTCCTGATTTCAGAATCCCTGTTTAAAAATAGTTAGCTGAAATAATCATGTGATTGTTAGGCTAAATTGTTAGTTTATATTTTTATTTTATAACCCATGTTTTAAAATAATAGTCAAACTTTGGCTTGAAGAGTCCTTGTCAACAAGTAAAAAAATCTTAATAAACCTGACTGCTTTCTTTCCTTACATTCCACCTTAATCTATGAATTGCCTCAGACTTTCTATGAACCTCAACTGGGAAAGATCTATAAGACCAAGTGTAAAAGAAGATAAAACCTAAAACTCAGGAAACATAGGACTATCTCATTTATCTGAAATCAAAAATTAGCTATTGCACCGAAGTATTAATTGTTCTTTTCTTTGTAGTGATTAGAATTACTATTCCCCAAAATCAATGTCTTACATCTGGAAAACAAAACTCCAGATCTATCATTAAATAAGTTTGAGAAATAAATTAAACCTGTTCCTTAATTTTCAGATACTTGAAACTGCAACAAATGTAACGACAGCTTGTGTGTTATAAGTGTATCAGGTACTGATGTGTATTTTCTTTGTAGAGGTATGTGCGTGGGGAGGAAGGCATTTTCCAAACTTGATTGACACAAGAATGTCTTCTTCAGAAAGCACTCTCCAAGGAACAAATTTTAGGGAAAAAAATGTATACATGGGCTCACTTGAGCAGCACGTATGCTAAAATTAGAATGATACAGAGAAGATGAGCATGGCCCCTGCACATGGAGGACACGCAAATCCATGAAGTGTCCGTATTTTTAGGAGGCTGGGAAAGTTCCCACCCAGCAGGTACAAGGTAGGGGTATATGGCATACCACAGGGGTGAAAGAGACAAACAAGGAACCTAATCATAGGTACCCTAATATTAATCCAAAACAACAATTCATACCTCATATATAACTGATGTTCCATTTTCCATATGAAATTTGCAGGATGCATTTTTGCACGTGCCACAACAATCATAGTCACTTGGGGATGGAATGTATACCTGGTGCTGTGATAATAATGCATTGAATTAGCCACACACTATCTATATTTTTAATGAATTAGTTCTGGGGAATTATTTTTTCCCAGCACAGCTGTAAGTTTCCCCCAAACATCTGTAAGCATTTCTAATGCTACTTGAATATGAGATGCTTCAAGTCATAATTGACTTGACATAGCTATATTAAAAGTGCACTAGATGTTAACCTCTATATCTAACAGCCAAGATTCCAAGCAAGTGTCACAATTTCAGGCCAAGCAAGCTGGCGAGAGGTAGGTAATAAGACTCCTGAAACTCAAGCTTATACACAGAAAAGTGAAAATCTACTTTATACAGATATATTACAACTGAACTGACTATAAAAGAGCTAGTCAAGTATACATGTTTAAGTCGTGGAGTGTTTGCTAGTTCAATTCCCGTAGCTGCCATTTTTAAGCTCATTATTAACTCTCTTCATAAGGACTTACAAACTTCATAAGGACGTGTCTACTTACCACATCACACTCTTTTGAACAGTTCACCATTGTAAAATTCAGAGTGTGAAAGCCTGTATGGTTATCCTTTTCCTCCAGACACTCTATTGTATGACAAAAGTCTCCTTCCGAGTACTTTATCATAGACTGTCCAGGATTCAGGACCGATACTTGTTGAAACACACACACATCATCCTTTTCTAAGAACAGAAAAAAACAGTCAATAAGAAAATATGCTACTGAGTTTTGATTAATCTATTGTTGGAACTTATATTTTATTATTCACTAGAACTATGCTTTCATTGTGGTATGCCAGTTTTTCAAAAGCCAACAAAGATCTTCATCTTTATGTTTTAATAGCCCAACAGCTTACTTAATAATTAATGTAGAATATTCATTCCTTAGAACAAAGAGTTGATCAGTAAAACCAACTCCGTTTCCAATTTGAACTTTCTCCAAAAGCTACCTTTTATAGCAGGTCCCAGAATGTGAGAGCTAGGGTTAGGTATGCTACTCTGTGCTCTCTCTCTAGGACGTGTAACATGACCACAGATGGAGGTGGATGTGGATGGAGGCACAGTCTAATCCAACAGCAGACCTCTTTAGGATGGGACTGAATAACAACTCATGTTTTTCTAATTACTACTTGAGAGATCTAGTGTTGCCAAACAAATGGTCATGTACGTCATATTTCATGGTAGCGGTAGCTGATTTAACAATGTGCCGTCATATCTTTAAAAGAGGCATAGCAGGATAGGCTGGTACAGTGAAGAATAACTCGATTCAGAAGCCCTTTATGCCTTGCCGACACTGAACTTAAGCCTTCTCTCATAGAGAAATACAAAGCTTTCGAGCCATTGATCAAAATGTTTTTTTATTAACCTTAAATATGAAAAATTACTATTTAATAGAAAAATCAACTTTATGCCTTATAATGTTAACATCAACAATAAAAAATGGGTCAAAACATTATAATTTTAGATGTTTATTTTTAAAAAATTAAAAATAGTTTGGGCGGCACCTGTTTCTCAGTGAGTAGGCTGCCGACCCCATATACCAAGGGTGGCGGGTTCAAACCTGGCCCTGGCCAAACTACAACAACAACAACAAAAATAGCCGGGCATTGTGGCAGGTGCCTATGGTCCCAGCTACTCGGGAGGCTGAGGCAAGAGAATCACCTAAGCCCAAGAGTTAGAGGTTGCTGTGAGCTGTGTGATGCCACGGCACTCTACCGAGGGTGATGGGATGGGACTCTGTCTCTACAAAAAAAAACTTAAATATAGTCATATTAAAAAGAGCCCTAGTATCATCTTTAAAATTCTGTGAAGGCAGCCAGGCATTGTGGCAGGTGCCTATAGTCCCAGCTACTCGGGACGCTGAGGCAAGAGAATCACCTAAGCCCAGATGTTGGAGGTTGCTGTGAGCTGTGATGTCATAGCACTCTACTGAGTGACTCTGTCTCTAAAAAAAAAAAAAATCCATGAGGCTCTGAAAAATATTTTCCTTTTTCTGTCATTTTATCAAGTTTCTCAGAAAATTTAGAGATTTACAAAAGAAGAAACTGAAAAATAATAGTACATTTTTATGCTCAAGTATTGGCAAATGTATAATACATATTCTAAATAATTTGAAAATTTTAACTTATTCACAGTAAAAAACAGATACCAATGCTATTCATTTATAACTTAAAAGTCATAAAAGATGTAGTTACCACAGAGATACTGTACACATCCACAATCACTCTGAAAATTATGGTCTACCGCAGTAAATTCTCCCTATTAGAAATATAGCATTATTATTATTATCATATAACTTTTCACATAGCTTACTTCATAACAATATTAAGTATATATAATACGTATGCATTTATAACATCTAAAACATTCCCTACCACATCTAGCAAGTGCTTATTAAATACTTGATAGTGAACAACCTTGGATTAACCTTGGTCACTTAATTAGTATCTCATGGGAAAAAATTCACAATAACTAATGTGACTGTGGATCACTCCATCTCTCTAAACTTTAATTTCCTCCTCTGTAAAGTGAGTGAAGGTGGATAGAAGGATTTTTATGAGTTGTTTAACTTTGACATTATTGTATGTGGTTTAATCCCAAGCTTCTAGAGGGCCATCAAAGATGATGCTTGACAACCCTGGGAGCTCTGCTTCATAGAAATGTTCTTGACCTACTCTATAGAGGTGGCCCAGGGTTCTGCTGTCTACACCGGAGCAAGGCTGCTATAGCATACAGGGCAGGAACAGAAGACCACAGCATACTGGTCAGTGGCATAGTCTTAGGAATGGGACTGCTTTTGCACCAATCCAGATGTGTAATCCGGCACTTACTAACAGAATGACTCAGGGCACATAACCAAAATGCTCCCCAATTCTCCCATCTGTAAACTGGGTTAATAATACAGTTCACTTTTTAGGAGTTTTGAAAGAAATAAGTAGATCAATACATGTAAAGAGCTTAGAATAGGGGTCACACACAGAAAGTGCCGTATTATCTTTAACTGTTAGTGAATTGTTGTCATGATACTCAAACTTTGCCCTATCAGTAATGCTGTAGATTCCTCCAAGCGAGTGTAGCAACACACGTAAAGTTTCAAGGATTATATTTGATGCATCATTATCCTGAGTCCATTTAATTTCATATGACATCAGTAACAGAATGAATTTGATTCAAGAAATAATTTAAATAAATTCATAATAATATACAAAACACCCTTTCCTGTAAGCTAATATTATAATCTTACTTTTATAGTGCCTTATACATTATAAAGCAGTTTTATAAACATTAACTTGTTTGATGTTTTAAGTCCTTACAATAAAGAATGTGATTGTGGATTTAACAATTCCAACAGGATTGGAAACAAAATGTGCTAGAATAATGAAGATGAAAATCATAAACCAAATTCTCCCAGGGCATAAGCTACTCCAAAGATTTAGAAGGCTGTGTTAGGCTCATACTCACTCTTTGAGGTCCCTTATCCTTCTGTTTTTTAATAGTTAAAGCCATAATGCTCACTCTGCCCTCAAGATTAGGCTTAACTCAGTGTTTTATTCTTCTCTTTTATGTTTATTTCCTTTGAGATATTATCCACATATTTAGTTATATCTGTATTGTATGTATGCAGTTTTACTGAGAGGAAATACCTCCTGATTGCTCTGTCAACATTTAACATTACATGAAACATAATGGCAACGTTTTACTCCCAAGTGAGTATCCCCCTCCTTTAAAGCCAGTAGAGAGTCGCCTTAGGCTGCTACCACTTGGTGTGGATGTATCTTTTCAGTTCTTATGGGTATATACTTAGAAGTGAAATTGCTGGGTCATAGGGTAGCTCTAAGCTTCATCTTTTAAATAACAGCAAAGTTATTTTCGAAAGCAGCTGCACCATTTTACTTTGCCACCAGAAGGTTATGAGAGTTTCAACTTCTCCACATCCTTACAAACGTGTTATTTTCTCTTTTTTGTAGCTGTGAAATGGTATCTCACTCCTGTTTTGATTGCATTTAATGATGATTCATGATGTTAAGCATCTTCTCCTGTGCTATTGATCTTTTATATATTTTATTTGGATAAATGTCTAGATATGTCCAAAGTACTGAAATACTATTTAGCAATAAAAAGGAATAAAGTAATGAATCTGCAACAACATGGATTAACCTTGAAGACCTCATGCCAAGTGAAGGGCGCCAGACACAAAAGACCACATATTATGCTTCCCTTTATGTGAAATACCCAGAATCGGAATATAAAGAGAAACAGAAAGTATCCAGTGATTGCTGAGAGCTGGGGAGTTTGCAGGGAAATGGGGATTGACTGCTAATAGTTACAGGGTTTCTTTCTGTGGGGTGATGAAATTGTTCTAAAATTGATTGTCTTGGTACCTGAACAACTCTGAATAAACTAAGAGCCATTGAATTCTACTCTTTACATAGGTGAATTATATATGTGAACTGTATTTCAGTAAAAAGCTTTTATTTTCTAAAAAACCGCAGAGGCCAACATATTCAGGTTGAAATACATTTGTTGTCTATGTAAATACACTAATGCAATGTTCAAAAAAATCACCTTAGTAACTAAACTAAACATTAGCCATCATTCAGACTGAGTACCCAGGAACAATGCATCAGATAACTGCATACAGCCATGGGTGTTAAAATGATATTATCATGCAAGGAGAGTTAAATACATTCAGGAAAGATATTTAAGGCTATTTAAGCTATTATGTTCTGAGTCCCTAGCACAGTGCTAACATACATATAATAAGCATTCAATAAATGCTTGGAATG